CTCTGTCCCAGGTGTCCCCAAGTCAGCTGCTGCTGAAACTGACCAGCGCTGACTACAGGAAGCCCGAGGCAGAGGTGCTCTGCCCCGGGCTTCCTGGAATCAGCTGCTGATCAGTTTCAGCAGCAGCTGACTTGGGGACGCCTGGGGTTCTTAAGTTGATTCTGTATGTAAGTCAGAACTGGCGGTCAGTTTCAGCAGTGTCTGAATCTGGACGCCAGTTCCGACTTACATACAGATTCAACTTAAGAACAAACCTACAGTCCCTATCTTGTACGTAACCCGGGGACTGCCTGTATTAGGTTATACAATTAATATTGATGCACAAGCATATAATTTCTTAGATTGCTGGCTTGTGTCCATTCCACATTAGGTTCCATCCGTGGTATCCTTAAGGCTTCTCCTCTGTTTTCTGATGCTACACACTGATGCGCTGGTGTAAGGGGTGCTGCTGACCCTATGCTCTTTCAGTTCCTTCTTAATGCCTATAATGGTTGCTGGGACATCTTCTCTTGCTTTGGCAAGCATTTTAACGGTATTTTCTCTTAAGTTTACTTTATTAGTCTTTGTTGTGTAGGTAGTTAGTCCCCCTTCTTGAGAGTAGAAGGCTTCCCTTTGCCCAGGAGCTAGGTATTTTCTGGTCCCCAAGCTTTAAACCTTGTGCCTCCCACATTCCAATAGTCTTATGCCTCATGTATGAGAGTGATGTCAGATCTATCAGGACTTTAAGCTTCATATGAAGAAAGTGAGGCAAGACTGAGGGTTATCCTAATGGAAGCTGTTCTTAGACCAGTGTTGGAGCCACGCATCTCAGATTCTGCACCAAGCACTTCAGCTACATGTGAAGCATCTCTGGCACCACACGGTTCTTAACCCTGTTCTCCATCTCTGATATTGATGAAGAAACATAAGCAGCAACCTGATTGCTGAGGGAAGGTGAACTGGGAAGACAGTGGAGTGCAACCCATGCTGGACCATTTCACCACGAGTCTCATGACAGGACCATTGACTCTACCCCCAAGGACACTTGGTTGCAGAACAGGACCCCTTCAGATGCCATGAAGTAGTCATAGCACCAGCAAGATCACAGTACTCTTTGCAGCAGAGGCCAGGGATTTATCTCCGGTATCTTCCAAAGACAGAGTGGCCCAGGTGAGAGGTCCTCTCCCGTCTGGGACCGGTCCCTGTATCCTAGGCACCAACCAGCAGAAACTAGGGACACCACTCCCCTATAGTCACCACAAGAGGACATTACTTCACTCTGAGGTGGAGCCCTAAATGCATCCCAAGAGCCATGAACATAATAGGGACAGAAGAGGAGAGAGCTCCTCCTGTCCTCCCCAGACAAGACCATTTTAGGGCTGCAGCAATATCTAAGGTGGCCATACCCACCAACAGTGTTGTTACGGGTCTGGTCAAAAACAACCCCATCTTCTCTCCCTCCCCCTTCAGAGAGGGCAGAAGAAAAGATACTATGTGCCAGCCAAGATGTATGAGTACTTATGTTCTCACCCTCCTCCTGGGTCCCTAGTTGTAATGGCATCCAATGAGAGTGCCAAGCGAGTGCAGACAAATGCTATCCCCAGTCTGAAAGATTAAAAGAAATTAGTTATGTTTTGCAGAACGATTTATTCAGTGGATATGCAACTTCATATCCTGAATCAGCAAGCCCTGCTGAAGAGATACAATTACAGCAGGTACAGTATGGGATTATTTGGCAAAATTTAAGGACTTGTTCCCTCAAGACTCCATGCAGGAGTTCACTTCCTTCTTGGGAGGGAGGAGAGAGATTAGCCAGAGCATCTTTCCAGGACCCTTGATGTAGCTGGTGTGGTAGCCAGAAAGTTGAGACTATAAGTACGGCCCTATTGGGCCCATCAAGTCCAGAATCCATCTCCCAACAGCCAGGTTCCCCAGAGGGAACTAACAGAACAGGCAGTCTGTTGGGGCTCTACCCTCTGTTGCTCACTCCCAGCTTCTGACAAACAGACTAAGGACACTATTCCTGCCATCCTAGCTAATAGCCATTGATGGATCTCTCTCTTGAGTGTTTATAGCTAATTTAGTGCCCATCATTTTATATGTATAACTGGGATTGTTTTCTGATATGCATTACTTTGCATTTATCAACATTAACATTCATCTGCTATTTTGTTGCCCAGTCATCTAGTTTTATGAGATCCTTTTGAAGCTTTTCTCAGTCTGCATAGGACTTAACTATCTTGAGCAGTTTAATATCTGCAGATTTTGCCATCTTGCTGTTTACCCCTTTCTCCAGATCATTTACAACTATGTTGAATAGGCTTGATCCAGTACTGACCCCTATGGGACACGACTAGTTACCGATCTTCATTCTGAAACTGACCGTTTATTCCTATTCTTTATTTCCTTTCTTTTAAATAGTCATCAGTCCATGCGAGGATGATTTAAAGAATAAGTTACAAACGATAGATAGTAGTTCTGAGATTTTACATTTGAGTTCCTTCAGAACTCTTGGGTGAATGCCATCTAGTTTTGGTGACTTTAACTATTTAGTTTATCATTTTGTTCCAAAACCTCCACTAATGACTCCTCTCTCTCTGGGACAGTTCCTCAAATTTGTCAGCTACAAAGAATGGTTCAGGTTTGGGTATTTCCCTCTCGTCCTCAGCCTTATTGTCCTTGAGTGCTCTTTTAGCATCTCAATTATCCAGTGGCTCCACTGATTGTTTACCAGTCTTCCTGTTTCTGACATACTTTAAAAAAATTTGCTGTGCAGATCTTTCTACCATCACCACTAGTTGTCCCTTCCATCCCAGACCACCAGGTTCATATTCTGAGGGTGAGAGTCTCCCGAAGTAGACATTTTTGCAACCAAAGGTCAGGCTCCCTTTGACTCATTCTTGCTTCCATGAGCAGCTCTTCTATTCTGTGACTTTTCTCCAGTTCCTCAAGGTCCTTCTGAAAATCAAGCAGGACAAGGCAAGCATTGTTCGGATAGTGCCAATACTAGATCAGCATGCTGGTAGTCTTGTCAGTAATGCATCTGATCTCACAAGGCATGTCTGTTTACTGCACCTGAACCTTAGGACCCTTCTGTTGACCACGTGGAAGCTCAGTGGGTGTACCTGCGAAGAAGCCTGTTCAGAATAAGTTTGCCAGGTCTTCTAGATAATAGGAAGCTGTCTATTAGGGCTACCTACCTGGCCAACTGGAAGTGTTTCTCAGTATTGTCTCCCCAATAAAGTTTTTCTCCAACTCTGCCTTCCCTTCAATCTGTACTGATATACCTGCTGTATCTAAAAGAGCGAGGCCTGTCTGTTGCATCGATCATGGTAGACCTAACAGCAATCTCAGCTTTTCAGACACCAGTGAACGGCAGTTCAAATTTTCTCTCATGAGTTGCCCATCCACATTCTTAAAGGGTGAGAGAGACTTTACCCTTAGATTTGCAAGCCAATTCCCCTGGAATTTAAATCTGTGCCTGTCAAGATGCTTGCACCCTCCCTTTAAGCTGCTAGTATTGTGCGCTTTCTCTCCTTGAAGGTCTCTTTCATAGTAGCAATTACCTCAACCAAAAGGGTCTCAGAAATCTCTATTCTAGTGTCAGAACCGCTGTACATGGTGTTCCTTGAGGACAAAGTTCAGCTATGCCACCACCCAACATTAATGGCCAAAGTAAACAGGCCATTTTTCTGCAAGTTTTCTACCTGAAATCACACAGGAATTCAGAAGGGTGTCAGCTTCAGTATTAGATGTCACATGCCCATGCCTTCTATACTGAGAGGACTAAACCATCCCATAGATCTGGGCAACTCTTTGTGGCAATAGCACAGAAGATCCATGTCCTGTTGGTTTTTTAGCCCAGAAAATCTCGTATTGGCTAATGTCTTGTGTTCAGACATTCTCTGAGCAAACAGATATTCCTCCCTTTAAATCACCAGTGGAGTCCCATGTATTGCGGTACTGGCAGTGTTGAAGGGAGGCAAGCCCCTGGGCCCACCTCTTCCAGGGGACCTGGAGCCAAGCTCCTCCCTCCCTCCCCACCTCCACCCTCCCAGTATTGCCCAAGGCCCAGCGAAGTGTCACCAGTCCTGGGAACTAGTGGTGCCCCTTATTACCATCATGCAACACCAGGGAGTGCTAGAGCTGACCCAATGGATGCCACTTAGGGAAAAAGCTCCAGCAACAGCGCACACACTGTGCACACACCTAATGTGGAATGGCCGTGAGCAACACACCTTGAAGAACAACTGTTATGGATAGGTTAGAAACCATTTTTATTAATTCAATTGTGGTAGTACCCAAGGAGTTAGCACTTTCCAAATCAAGATGAAGAAACATTCCCTGCTACAGAGTGCATGACCTTTGATCATACTAAATCCACGCCACCTTCTTGCAGACCTAGAGAATGCCCAGTTTACCTGTGTCTGAAGGTACCAGCACATTTGGAGGCCCATAGATTCATAATGGGTCTACATTGTGTTTCAGAACCTGGGGCAGCAAGTCTCAGAGCCCAGTTTATACGAGCAGCCTTATGGATGCTTGGGCTGGAGCTCAGGCATTGAAGCCCACCCTTTCTGCCAGGCCTATGAGCCTAAGCTCTGTCCTGAACCCAATTATCTACATAGTTGTTTTTAACACTATTACACAAGCTGAATCTGTAGATCTAAGGTCTGAGACTTGCTGCTGTACGTTGTAAAGTGCAGTGTAAGCAAACCTCATGAGACTTACAGCCTGCCAAAGCCTGTTTCAGGTTGAACATCTTGGGTTTGGTTTTGAGCAATCTCCTACATATTTACACTGATGTCTTATCTTTGCAAGGTCTTTTGACCACCATCCTGCATCAGATATTATTTGGGCTATGGAAATACAGGAGCATGTTTTTCCTCTCCTTTGGTTATCCCAGAAGTTCTGGCATTAGAAATAGCTGAATTTTCTCTGGATAACTGCTTATGCCTTCCTTGGCCCTACTGCATGTGATGACTCTGGGCAGAACATCTGCCTGTGATCATGAAGAGAGAAAAGATTGTTGTTTTTAAAAGTCCATAAATGTGCAAAACTAATATTTTATATGTAGCTTTTTAAATCATTTATGAACATTAGTAAAGCTGCATCGTAGACAAAATGTGTTCTCTGAACCAGTTTTTCTGATAGTAAATGTTTCTGGCATTGAATTTTCTTAATTTTTCAATATTTGGTATCTGTAGTAATTTTGAAGCTCATATTAATCAGGTTTGAAAGAAAGATCTTACAGGTCCGTTATGTTGTGTAACACAATTTTGTAAGAGATTGTTTCCTGTAAGGGTCTTTAATAACTGTGTCCTTTTGCATAAAGTGTGAGGAGCGTGTTCTTTAAGAAAACACTAATGCAAAATGCATTAATGCTTAGTGGCAGAGGCTTCAATTTGCCAGTCCCACATGGTTCTGTTAATAAATTCAGGATTAAGTTCTATCAACTGTGATACAATTTATCAACATACTAACTGTAGAAAAATGTGCAATTAAAACTGCAGTCTGGTACACTTCTGGAATTGTTTAAACTTGTAAGTGCAAGTGGAATTATAACGGCTTTCATTTTCCATTTAGGAAAAAAGTCTCATCTTCGGAAAACAACAGAGAAAAAGCTCCCAACAAAAGAAACCATTGCCAAGCTTCAACAGTCAGAAATTTGGAAAATGGAGAATGAGTTCTATGAATTTGCACTGGAGCAATTTCAGTTTGTCAGAGCACATGCAGTTCGGGAAAAAGATGGAGAATTGTATATTCTGGCGCAAAACTTTTTCTATGAAAAGATTTACCCTAAGGCGAACTAAGAGCAAAGTATACTGTTAGATAATAGACTAAACTTTTGGTCACTTTGCCATCTTTAGTTCTCAGCCCTGGAAGCTAGATTTCTGATAGACCTCTGACATATTTCTCTCTAGAGATGAGGAAAGTGGGCTATGGATTACACCAAAGGTGTTGGATACTTGACTTAAGCTTCAGTTCTTTTATCTAATTAATAATTTCAGTGGGAGTTACTACCTTTTCCCTGAAGAAATCTACACTTTTCTTTTCAGATATTAACCACAGAGCAGTTCTGGTTGAAAATATAAACAAAAGATGCTTCTATTTATGGTGTTCTTGATTCTCAGAGCAATTTATTTTCATTTAAACTTCTGTAAAGAAGAAATTATGTTTTCCCAACTTCTACATGAAGATTTTGGTTGTATACAATTATGACTAGTGTTAATAATTGGTTGACATCCGTGCTTTGTTTTTGAGAGTCACATTACATGATATTCATTGGAATGATTAATTGTGGTCTGCTAAGAAACGCTGTTGCTGGAATTGACTATAGTTTTATTAAAAAGTAAAGCTATAACTAATCAGTATTTCCTTTTCCTCCCTCTCCCCAACTGAATTTGGAAAAATTCTGCAAAGAAAGTTGGGATTGCCTGCATTTCTAGTGAATGCTTGCACATCAATATTAAAAAAAAAAACTAGTACATTAAATATCAAATTGCTCCATGGATCCTTTGTAATGACTGTAAACTAAAATATTGATGAATCAATATTATGACTCCATTAATGAACTCTGATATGGTTTGGGTTTTCCTACTTCTTCTATACCTTTACCTGTAGAATATTTTTACTGAGGTGCTTTATAATGTGTTTTAAAGCATTGCATTTACAAAAGGAGTAAAATGCTGTAAATACTGCATATTTTATGTATTTGGACCAAAAAGGTTACAAGTAATTAGCTGAAAGTGGTGTTTGCACCAGTTTTGTTACATGTGAAGTAAAAACCATCTCATCTACTGTTCTGCTCCCTATTTTAGTGAACTGTTAGACATCACTGAAATGCACTTCAACCTATACAACTACTAATATGGCACATTGTCCAGAAGTTCTCTTTACATGAAATTAGTCTATATCTTTTTATAATATTTGAAAAGAGGGAAAAGAAAATTCAATATGTGGTTGAGAGCGAGATGTTAAACTTGACATGTGTTTATGTAAATGCCTTATGTCATTATTGTAAACTTGTGTGCATTTGCCTTTATTAGCAGCTTGAAACACCTGGTAGATTAAGTATAGTTGAATTTAGTGAACAGCTGTTTGGGTACTGGGGAGTCTATTTTAACAACTGCCATAAATGCTTGCAAAGAACTTGCCTATTGAACATACAACTTTTTAAAATATTACAGTAATTGTCCCTTTCTCCACCTTCAGTTTTTAAAAATGAGTGTCCCTGTGTTTGATTTTGGGAGGAGGGGACAGGAGAGGAGGAGGAGGAGAATAAGATGCCATGGATCAGAGTTCCTAAGGATGGTGTTTAAAGCAGTAGTATAAAGTTATTAAGATGGAGTTGCTTCAATGTATTTTTCTTTTTGGTAATATGAAAATGATTGGGAGTTGAAAATCATGTGTAAATTGGATATTTGCTGCCAAAAACACAATAATCCAATTATAAAAAGGCTAATGAGACACTGTCAAGTACTGATTTTAAATTTGCTTTATTGTCCTTTGGATCTTCCTCTTTGAGGCTTAAAAACCAGTTATTTTCCAATAGCTCTTCTCAGTTAGGTACTGCTAATTACTGATTTATGTAGCGTGCACCAGGCAGGATTTTACTTAATACAATTCCTGTGTATCCGCTTCATTGTTGATGCCAGCACATCACTGGGGCACAGGATTTGCTACTGGATTTGTTTCTTCTAGCTCATTTTCTATCTGATGAGTAGTGCTGAAATACTGAAGAGTCGTCATAGATTGGTTATTACAGTTCTAAAATGTTATTTTAAGCTGGTAAATTCTAGAAATACAATGGATATTTATTGAAAAAATGGACATTTTTAGGTAGATGACATTTTGTCCCCCTCCTCCATAAAATTTAGATTTATTTGTTTATAGCACCTTATTTTCTTGATCCTTTTGTAAAGTTTTCAGAATGATAGCCCTGAACAGAAATACAAAGTAAAAACACAGTACCCAGATAGCTAGTGAAATATGAGAGACACAAATGGCCTAGATTGGGAAGAAAACTATGGGTAAAATCATGGCCCTGCTAAAATCATCAGAAGTTGTGCCAGGACGTAATCCTATAAATGTAGTTTTTGAACTTCTTCTCTGCCAAGATTTAAATTTAGGAAAATGAATGAAACAATCTTAAAATACATTATAAAAAGCTTGGAGTTCTAAAGGAGACATTTAATTTTCATGTTTCACATTATGGGAAAGAAATTTATTTCCTCAGATAATATCAACTCCTGTTCTCTATTTGCTGTGAACTGATAAAATTGAAATTGGTGGTGCAGAAATATATATCTCTTTAGAAATGTACTAATTGAAAAGTATTAATTAAATATATTAAATGTTGGGGTAGAGGAGGAATCCAGATTGTGGCTAAATTATATTGTATGAAATAATGTATTCAGAAAGTATTTTAGAATTCTTTGACCTCAAACAGTCAAACTTCTGGTTCCTGAAAGATAATCAACTTCGCACATTTTAAATAACCAATTCTATTCTTGTATTCTGTAATTCTCAAAATCACTGGTTATTAAAAGTAACTTACTGTATATAAGTAACAGTTTGTCTCAATACTTACCCTAATGAGTCTAGTGAAATTTAGTGACTTGTAAATTGTGATATCATTGGACTTGATTATGCAGACTTCTGCGTGCACATTACTACTCTGAAGTCAATGGGGGCTCTATGCAACAGTCTAGACCAGGAAAAGAGATTTGCTTTATGGGAACAGTTGAGCTAAATTCCTACCCCCTTTAAAATCACTGGGAGCTCTGTACTTCAGTGTTGCCAGAATTTCATTTTGTGTTCATGCACAATATTTAAAATATTTTAGGAAATGGAACCCCATAAATGTATGCTGTGTGTATTCAAATATTATACACAGATACAATAATTCCTCTTACATGATTTAAAACAGAAATCAGTCTACAGTGTTAAAATGTAATAAAGGAGAAGGAGTCTGAGAGTTTGCAATGCTTTTTCTAGATGTTTCAGATTTCTTAAGATGTTTAGCTGCTTCTGCGTTCCAGTAGTACATATTTGCTATTCCTAACCTTACATAGTGCTGTTTTATGTCAAGGGAGATTCAATTGTTACATTTTTGCATCAGTTTCACTAGTATTGAAAAGGTATGAATAAAAAGAGATGTAATTATGATGCTGTCTAAACTATGCTGCTGAGGCAACCAGAGCAAAAGCCTGTTTCAAAGTTCACTGCCAGTTTAGCTCTTTAAAAGTGGAGCTTATTTTATGACTACTGGAGATCAGACTCAGAGAAATTATAATGGGTGGTTAGTTGTCAGGATATATTCTGTACTTCAAGCCTGTGCAGCTATGTAACATTTGCAACACTATTTATAAAATGAGCCCTCTTTGTGAAGACTTTTATAGCACATGATTATAAATGTGTTCAGACCCTTGTACTGTCTAATACTTAGATCAGCAATTTTCTGTAACTTCTGTGTTGAGAGCTAGGTTTGTGAGCATCTCTAAAGCAGTACTGAATGTAACTTTGAAAAACATGGATTGTGCATCATGACCTTTATTTTTAAACACACACACACACACACAGAGCTAAATAGTGCCTTTTTTCCTCACAATCCATGTTCATGATGCTCACTCCTGCTCCTTTTTCCTCCTCCCTCTCCATATATTGGTTCATTTGTGCAATATTTTCCCAACGTGAAACCATTTTGTCACATTTGTTTGAGAGATAATCCCTCCACTCACCATCATGCCAGCTTCTGTTGTTGAAGTGTTTGATTACTGATGCAAATGCTATAAAATAAAACACCCAGTGGGAAGGGGAAAAATAAGTTCAGCCTCCTGTCTTAATATTATTCATGAAGCATTCACGTTGAAGATTTTCTAGCAAGCATAAATATACCTTATAATGAATTTGCAGACACTGTTGCTGAAGCAGTTTCCACTGTGGTTGATCTATAATTTTATAACTTGTTTCTGAGATATTTTATTAAAACTGCCATGAAAAAAGTGAAATGTATAGCCCTGTATCATTTGCATTGGTTTCCTTGTTTGGAAATTAATAAACTGCACATAGAGTGTATGGTATAATGGAAGTGTCAGAAGAAAGAAGCTCTGTGTAATAAAAATAAGATTTATAAGAATCAAATAGGTTATTTAAGCAATGGAGTGAAATGCACATGCCTCTCTCCATGAGGAGAGTATGAGAGAACATATATGTGACAGATGGCAGTCACTTTGTTTGATGCTATTCTGAAAGGTGCTCATTCTTATGGGAATGAATGTGATATGTAAAATAAAAATGTGGCATTGGCAGCTGTAAAAGTAAATTTTCAAATAAGAAGAATCTCATGAACATTCTAGCCAGTGGTACTCTCAAATTAGAACTAAATGTGTATTATAAACACTACCTTATAAATATTTCTAGTCCTTTGATTCCATGAAGTAGCTATCTCAAGTACTAAATACTCAGCTGAACTAGCTAATGTGCTAGCTTTGATTTCTTAATAGGGGTAGTTCTTAAATGTTTAGCCAGAGCATTACTAGTTGAGAACCGACTGTCACACAATTTCATCCCTTTAATATTTGTGCTATTTCTAGCTGAAGAGGCCATTGAAGCTTAAATGTCATTTGCATTGATGGCTAGACCTTCTCCCTAATTTCTCCCTCTAGATAGATAGATAGATAGATACAATTGAGCTTTACAGCTGGTCTTTGTTACTCTCATAGGTGCAGGTGTTGCATACAAACTCACATATCTTTGCTTTTTATAAGCCAATGAAAAGTTGAAAGAGACTGTCCTGAAAAAGTGTCTGTTGATCCTCAGTCTATAGGCTTTTTTTCCCCAGAACTGAATGGTGTAGTAATAGAGAGGTAGCTGTGTTAGTCTGATCTTGCTAAAACAAAAGGAAAAACTATGTAGCACTTTAAAGACTAACAAGATGGTTTAATAGGTGATGAGCTTTTATGGGCCAGACCTACTTCCTAGCTTACTATATAATGAATTCTGCTGTAAATTAATTGCCCAAGGAATCTTACAAAATTAATGCCATTCTATGGGTAACTTAATCTCTTCGACTGGAATTGGGAAGACTGTGCTAGGTTTTTCTACTACTTCTTGCATTTTCATTTTGCTTTTATTAGCCTGTCTAAATCTTAGTAGAATTTAGTTTAAATTTCATTATTGCTTATTAAAATATAAGCTGCTAGTGAATCTCAAAGTAATGTCCAGATGTTTTCTTCAAGTACAAGTTCCCCACTATGACCTCTCTCCCTGCTTCATTACTACATAGCACAGATGTGGTAACTTGCAATAAGAGCTAATTTAAAGGACAAATAATAGTCTTTATTTTTTAAAAAAAATCTCTTCAAAGAACACCTGTGGTCTACAAATGAAGGCGTAAAGACCTTTCACCTTGTCACAATGACCCATTCTATTCCCCATATAAACAAAACTACATGGTAAATATTCTACATCCAGTTTCAAGACACAAGATTTATCCTGGATACTACACTCTTGGGCTTGCTGCACACTCAAGCATTAACTTTTTATAATAGGTATAAACATGACTAGCATGAGGAATGGCCCACATGTCTCCATAACAATAATAAAAGTTTCAAGCCAAATAGAGTAATGTATATACCTTAAAATAACATTAGTCTTGGGAATTGTGGCTATAGTTTGTATGGATCATATTTCTTTGATATTTAAGAAATATTTGATTTGTATGTGTTTGAGTCATAGACAGCTCAAGCACCCTTTATATGTAGTGCAACATCCTGCAACTTGATACACATTTGTCTCAAGTTAAAATATTTCTTCATCACATTATTTCTAATGCTGAAACCATTTTTAAATAAAAAAGGAAAACCACTTTTCTCTATTGGAAACAAAAAACAGAAATCACTGTTTATTTTTTGTAAGTCCAGGAAGTCTCAAATGTTATAAATTTGCTACATTAGTTCCCAGCTTAAACTAGAAGTTGTAAGTCTGATTCAGGAATTTGAGTGAAATTTCATGGCTTGTATTATGCAAGAGCCTCAGAGTAGATGATCAGACTTGTACTTGCCAGCTTTCAAACCATACATTTATCTTGATAAACATTGGTTGGCATAAAGGATTAGTCTTTTGCCTCCTTTATTTAGAATAAAATAGAATTTAAAAATGACACATGGCTCAGATGATTGACACACTTGTTCAATTAATTTCCAACTTGACCAGATGGTCTCAGTAAATATATGGTGGATGAGTGAAATAGAATGAAACTTCATTTATGTAACCCTGTTCAGAGTGTCTTATGTGTGAAGCCAATATGCAGTGAACACAGATAAAAAAGTGCAAGCAAAGAGCTACATCTCTCTTGGGATTGCCTTTGAGACAGCATCCACTTGTCAGGATAGCTTCTGAGACCCTATTCCCCCTCAGCAGCATCTTTGGCTTTATTCTCTTGGTCAGAGACAACTGCTAGGGGAGGGATGCAAGGGAAGCACAGACCACATGACCACCACCCCCAGGTGCCTTCTCTCTGCACCATCTCTAGCCAGGAGGAGTCCACCCTAGTAGGGTGTGTGTGTAGGGGGAGGGGCAGGACGAATACCTGCCTGTCTTGGGTCCCACATCTTCCCACTCCTACTTCACTCTTTTCTCAGTCCTGTGCTCCCACTCTACCTCTTCCCACAAGCCCTCTTCCCTGATTGACGAGGCTTGGGGCACTAGTGTGGACTTGGCACTGATGGCAGAGATTGCATCCTCCTCTTCACATTTACCAGCAGGTGGAAAGCAAAGAGACCCAGCCCCAGCTTGATCTGCTCCTCTGGCTCCAGCCACTTCACTCTGCTCCCCACCACTGGTGAGTGGGGGGGGGGCTCGCTCCATTTCCTGCCAGCAGTCAGTGCAGGGGTGGGCTCAATCCCAGCTACCCGTTCCAGACCCCCTGCTAGTCTGCAGAGCCTCCCAAAGTACAGGATCTGGGACAGATGCCCTGAACAATCTGAAGGATGGAAAGGCAATGCTGGCTGCTGGCCTCTTGCCCCTCCCTCCATAGCATGGGGAGCACATAATCCTTCATGTCCTTTCCTGCCACCCTCTGCATGTCTGCCTCGCCTCTGCTCTTGGTTTCCAAGAAATTAGCTCAGATTTGAACTCATCACTGAGATTTCTATAGTAGCATACATTTCCACTCCACTTGCATTGATCAGGCTTAAGCCACAGTCAAAGTGACACAGCAAACCTCTTCCTTCATACACATTTACATATGACAGTGCATTTAACATGCATTGCAGCAAATGTTTTCGAATTGTAAATTTAGACTTACAGGAACCAATCCTTATACAGCAAGTACTGTCCATGCACGCCTACTGTTTACCTCCTCTAGTATTCAAGGTTATCTAGTCCATTGGGTGCTCCCCCCTATTTTACAGACATTTTGTTCCCAACCGTCTGATTCAATTACTTCCCTAACCCTGTCTCCCAAGAAATGAGGCCTCATCCATAGCTACTTATTCATGTTAAGCCAAGACTTCAGTCTTTATACAGCGATTATTATTAAACATTTATTTTGTGGGGATTCAGGCTCTGTATTTGCCCCCAGCAACTCAGCAATATCTATCAGGGTGGATTTTTTTATATACAAAGTCTTCCTTACATGTAGTCATCTTTTTTCTCCTATTGACTCTCCTGTAGCCTCAGAGAAAGAAAAAGGTTTTGCTTCTAAGCAGGGTAAATGAAATTACAAACTAATAGAGAAGTTGGAGACTCTAATTACTCAGCTCTGCATGTGAAGTACTGAAATATCTCACAACCAGAGAGATTTTTATCCGTCCTTCCTTTAGTGTCCCATCATAGGATAAGACCTACACCAATGTTCTTCTAAGACTAATCATATTGAGACCACTGACGATGTGACTAGTCAGAAGATAGCATTTTAGATATGTAACTAACACAAACCAGGTCTGTCAAATGCTGTCGATATGCCTAGTGAACAAACATTTGATTAATAGCCTATTATATTCTACCATTTGCACCCAGGTTCCACCATCTACCTAATCCTCTTGTCTGGCTCCAACAAGAGTCTGTTGGTTTTAATTTCTGTTCTGATGTTTGGACCCAATAATTTCTACGTATCCTGCCTTCATTGAAGCAGCTTTATTCTATGATTTAGAGTTTAAAAAATTGCTTGTCCAAAAATTCATTCAAGAACAAAGATCTCTCAATTAGATGCAGTCTGTAAAATCTTGTGGCTGAGAGAAGAGGAAGAAACTCTAATCTAAGGTCATTTGAAATTATCTCAGATTAGTCCAAACACTAGTCCAAATATAGATCTGTCCTTTTTATTAAATTGCTATAGAAATGGGTCAGTTTTGTTTGCAATAATAAATCTCTCTGCTAAGTTTTAAAAAAGACCCACCATTCAAACCCTATTTTCCTACTAGATCACTGTTCCTTACGTGTACATTTTCTGGCTTTTGCATTCCAGTGTGGAATTCCATAGGCAGGGGCGGATACAGGGCAGGGCGAACGGGGCGGCCGCCCCGGGCCCCACGCTTCAGAAAGCCCCACGCATGCGCCGTGGCAAAGGGGGGGCCCCACGGAATTATGCTGTCGGGGGCCCCGCAAAACAGTCATCTGCCCCTGTCCATAGGCATGCAAATAGCCATATCCATTCACTAGATCATGTGAATGGATATAGAATCCTCAGCCACAGAGCATAGAGATAATTTTCCAGGAGACAGCAGTATTTGTTCCAGTGGGACAATCTTTAACTAGCTGCAAAGAGTGACCACAAACCTCACTACTTTCCATTCTAAACACAAAGCACATTTCTTCAACTTTGTCTCTGCCCCACGTCACACATAAATAGAAATTTAATTTTGTTTTAAACCTACATGTAATTTCCACGTGGTCCAGATGGAAGACTCTAATTAGGATAGACTACAGCTTACAGAACTAGGCCTCACTTGAGCTCTTGTGTGGGGATTTATGGGATCTGAGTGGGTACGTCTACACAGCCAATGGCAACAAGCCTCCCAGCCTGGATCCACAAACTTGGACTAGCAAGGATCATGCCAGTGCTCTAAAAGTAATGGTTGTTGTAGTGCTTTGAAGTTGCGACTCAGGCTCTGAACCCTCGCCCCACGTAAGGTGCCGAACTACACCTATGATGGGCTGTTGACACAGCAATTTTTAGAGCTTTCACATGAGCCCTGTTACCGACCTGGGCTGGGAGACACTGTTATAGGTTGTTTAGACATATCAGTAT